GGTGCGGTTGTCGTTGGGCGTCTCGGGCGCGGGGTCCCCGACTGTCCCGCCCTCGTTTTTGGAGATGCTTCTGGAGGCGTGGACGCTCGCGACTGCAGGCTTAGGCGCGCGGGGCTCGAAGTGGCAGCTTCTACTGGGTTCTCCCCGGGCGGTCGAGCGCGCGTGTTGGGCCCTTCTGCCGGGTTCCTCGCAGACCGTCCCGCGAGTGGAGCTCCTGGCTTTCGTCTGGGCCCTACAATTCACGACAGGGCCAGTTGTTTTTGTCACGGGCTGCGCCGAGGTCGCGAGAGGGTGGTACGATGGCGCTTTCGCGCGCCCCGCTGGGCCCCAGGCCGACCTCTGGCGTGAGATTCATCAGCATGTCGCCAGCAGGGGGGAAAGCCTCCACCGCCATCCTTCAAGCGCCCTCGCACATGACGGGCGAAGAAGTAGTGTCGCAGAGTTGGCCGCCCTGGCTCGCGCAGGGGAATGCATGCATCTACACGATTGGTTAACAAGTGAGTGCTTCCATCTTCTGCCCATCGACGGAAAAAAAGTCTCCCGAGTTCCCCCTGGGCGGTTTTTGCAATGGCTGGCGTCTGGACGCGCCCCTCCTACGCATTGCGGTATCACCGAGTCCTTGGTATGTGGTTTTGCGGCAGTTGCGGGTATTTCGGCCAGGCCCAGCTCAGGGGCTTAGGAGTTCTGTGCCGCCCACAATTGATCACCAAGACCAGACGCGAGTACCTTGACAGGCTCGCTCGTGGTTGGACCCCAACCTGAGCCCACGAGCTTGCGTATCACAACGTGATGGCGGAAATCCTGGAAAATCCTCCTCCTCTTCCTCCTCCTCCTGTTCTTCCTCCTCCTCCTCCTCCTCCTCCTTCTCCTCCTCCTCCTCCTCCCCCACTTTACCCCCCTCCTCCTCCTCCTGCTCCTCCTCCCTCCTTTTCCTCCTCCCTCTTCCGTCCTCCCACCTCCTCCTTTTCCTCCTCCTCCTCCTCCTCCTCCCTCCTCCCTCCTCCCTTCTCCCTCCGCGAAGGCACCTCGCGGGCTGTCACCGCCGGGCGAAGCAAGGCCTGGGCGAAATGAGCTGGCGAAACGAGCCGGGCGAAGCAAGCCCCGGGCGAAGCGAGCCTGGCGAAGGCGAGCCTCGGCGAAGCGAGCCGGGCGAAGCGAGCCCCGGGCGCGAAGCGAGCCCACGCGGGGGCCCCCTGAGCCCCCCCCAAGGGGGCCCCGGGAGGTTGGGGGGGTAACTACCAGCTTGGACGGGGACGTTCCCAATATGGGGGGGGGGCGGTCGATCTACTGCGAGCGTGTTCCTACTGCCCGCTGGCTTTTCCAAAGAGCATGGAGTGCTGGCCTGGGCGAGTGCCAAACACGCACACACACACGCACACGTGGCCGCTTGTCTTCCAGTGCTTGGGCCCTCGTTTGGCCAAGCACGGTGGTCCTCCACATGTGAATCCAAGAAGTCCAGTGGTGCAAACTGTCGTGTCCAGCAAGACATTTTCGTTGTGATATCACGCCCCAGATCAACGAACCCCGGACATGTCGCACTTGACTGGGGTACATCGAACAGAAACTGATGTTCCAGGTTGAACGGGAAGAAACGAGCTCCACATGTGGATCCAGCAAGTGGCCTCCGGATTTTCCACGTGAACCACGGGCAAAATATGAACGGAGTCTCTGCGCCGACGCTCGCGCGGAAGCTGCCCGCGCAAGGTCGCGCGTCGAGCGCCCTCGTCCCCAACGCAGCGTGCCGCGCTGGCTGTCCGCGTGCCGCGCTGGCGGTGCGCGCCCTCGGCTCCGCGCAGCGATGAAGGGCCGCTCCCGGAGCCTCGAGACATCCCAGGGCTCCAGGGCACGTGCCGTCGCAATCGGGACTCGAACTCACCGTTGTCACGGGCCCTTGACCCGGAATCCCCGAGCAAGCCGTATGAGGAGGAGAGTGGAAGGAGGATGGAGGAGGGAGGTGAAGCAGTGAAGCGGGTGCAGTCGGACCGCGGTGTAAGATCGAGGTCGGTTCGGGGAGGGTGCCCTGATGTTCTTCGTGCTTGCTGTGTGCTCTTGTGCATCCTGGGGAGGGTACCCTTGGATGTTCTGTTTGCTTTGGCCGCCAGAGGGTCTCATGTCCTTGAAGGATGTTCTTCTGGCTTAGGTCCGACTATACGTCATCTCGCGCAATACGCGTCTTCGATCGTCGATGCACGTGACCGCTCCTGATGTGGAGGGGGCGCTGCCCGTTGGTGGCCTCACGAAGGGGCGACTCTTTTCGCTGCTGCGAGGCTGTGCTGCTGGCGGGCCTCGGGCTAGCATGTGCTCTGCGAGGGATGGAGCCCTCCTGCCTCTTGGCGTCGCTCGGACGTGTGCGTTTCTTTCCACGGCGAGGACCATCGAGGAGTATCCTGGACCATCGAGCAAAACGAGCACGCACGCAACCGAACAATGCACGGAGAACGGACGTCCGAGCGAGGGCGAGGCCTGGCCTGCAAGCAGAATCTGCGGCGCGCCCAGGGGCGAAGTGAGAGGGGGCGGGCCTTCCCAGAAGGCTCGGACGCCCTCAAGCCTTCCGGGGAGTTTTCTAAGCCCTTCCCCGAAGACGCCGAGAACTTCCAGAAGGCCGGAGGGCTTCTGAGAAGCCCCGCCTCTTTCCGAGAGAGCCCTCTTCTCACTTCCCCCTCTCGCTCGCTGCCTTAGAGAAGGGAGGGCCTGCCCTGGAGCCGGCTGGGGGTCTGAGGCGGCCCAGCTTTGGTTCTGGCCAGCAGGAGGGGGAGGGCGAGGTCAGAGGCTCTGGGCCGGTCAGGTGTTCTGAGTTTTTCCGCCCCAGGGGGGCCGTTGTCGTGCCCCAGGGCCGTCAGCAACGGATCCGGGGTGAAGTTGCACCAGAGTGACCCCGGGAGAAGTGAAAACAGGGCTGGGATCGGGATAAATCGCTCCAGAGCGTTCCGGAGCGCTCTCAGAGCGTTCCGGAACGCTCTGGAGCGGCCGCGGCGCCCACTACGTCTTCCAAACCCGCCGATCCTCAGAGATTTCGAGTTATCCCGATCCGATTTTGTCCCGATCTTCGCGTCGTTTGATGTTCGTGCCCCAGGACCGTCAGCAACGGATCCGGGTGAAGTTGCACCAGAGTGACCCCGGGAGAGGTCCAGAGAGGAGGAAAAAGAGGAGGAGGAGGAAAAAGAGGAGGAGGAGGAGGAGGAGGAGGAGGAGGAGGAGGAGGAGGAGGAGCAGGAGGAGGGGGGAGGAGGGAGGAGGAGGAGGAGGAAGAGGAGGAGGAGGAAGAGGAGGAGGAGGAGGAGGAGGAAGAGGAGGAGGAGGAGGAGGAGGAGGAGGAGGAGGAGGAGGAGGGGCCGATGCGAGCGGATTGGTCTCGCCCCCCCTTCCTGACTGCTCTCCTCGGGGCCCGTCCAGCCAGCTCAGACCCCCGTGGCCGCCTCCGAGGCCCGCCAGCCTCGGGACTGCAAAATTTGCGGGGTGCGGGCGCTGTCTGCCGCTGGCCTTATGACATGACTGAAAGGAGGAATAAAACGACGCGAAGATCGGGACAAAATCGGATCGGGCTAACTCGAAATCTCTGAGAATCGGCGGGTTTGGAGGATGTATTGGGCGCCGCGGCCGCTCCAGAGCGTTCCGGAACGCTCTGAGAGCGCTCCAGAACGCTCTGGAGCGATTTATCCCGATCCTAGCCCTGTTTTAAGGAAGCGAACTACACAGCTCAAGTATAATGTGCATCTGTAGCAGATTATGACGCGTGTGACTGTCGAGTTCACAGGTGCTCTAGCCACAGTATTACTATCAGCACACTTGGCAGACATATGGGGACCACGCCACATTCGCATCTTGCGGTGGACGGAGCCCGTCAGCCCTCCCACACGGACCTCAGCCCACTAGAGGTCTCCAGAAAACATCATATGCAGTCGGAGCGTCGGAACAAGGTCCTCCTTTGTCGGAGCAGGCTCGAGGATTCCCGGGCCCCTCCCTGGGATTTCCTCGTGCGCGCTTCCCGTGCATCTGGGCGCGAGTCTGGCCCGCAACGCGTCGTGTCGACCGACGGCGACCCCGCCGCCAGCGTTCAACGTTGAACGTCGCCGACGACCTAGAGTCTATCTATGTTGAGCGATCTGACGTGTCGGAAGCGGCCGATCGTTCAAGGCTGAACGATCCCCGCGGAGTCTGGAACCACCGCCGCAGTCGGCATGACACGAACCGGCCGTACATGATGGGGCCGAGAGGGGAGAATCTGGGCAGGCGGCGGCAGTCGCCCCTCACGGACACCTGCAGGTCATGCTGCTGCTCCTGCCTCCGGGTCCCCTGTGCTGCTCATCCTCATCCTCAGCATCCTTCTTCTATGGCCCGTGCTCCTCCGAGCTTGGCGGGTGCCACCGCCTCGGTGTGCAGCTCCACGTGCGGTTGACGGCCCCTCGTGGGCCTGTAGCTCAGCGTGGTTTCGGCCCGCAGTTTGGGCTCAGCGTGTCGCTCCGCCGGTTCTGGCCCACCACGCTTCGGCGCGACACGCTGACCACGTCCCGGTCCCCAGGCGTCAACGTCCCGAGCCTCTCCCAGCCTCCCGTCCCGCGGAGCGGAGCGACGCGCCGTCCGCTCGCAGGGCACGGCGTGTCGCTGGGCCCCCCTCTCCTGTCGAGGAGGAGGAGGAGGAGGAGGAGGAGGAGGAGGAGGAGGAGGAGGCGGAGGACGAGGAGGAGAAGGAGGAGGAGGAGGAGGAGGAGGAGGAGGAAACGGAGGAGGAGGAGGAGGAAACGGAGGGGCGGGCCTTCTCGGAAGGCTCGGAAGGCCTCGGGCCTTCCGAGAAGTTGTCGGAGCCTTCCCCGAAGCTGCCAAAGACTGGTCGGACGGCGCGAGGGCCTCTGAGAAGCCCGGCCGCCTTCTGAGGAGGCCCTCTCCTTTTGACTTCCCACCCCGTTCTGCGCCCCCTCCTGTCTGCCTCTCCGCTCCTTCCCTCTCGGCCCCGCGTCTCAGAACAAAAAGGCTCCGCGGTCCTCCGCGCGGGCGATGCGGAGGCCTGATGCAGATGGTCCACTCGTACGCGTACTCCTGCTGGGCTCTGTTCGTCAGCACCTCTGTCACCGTCTGCGCCCTGATCGTGGCCCTGACCACGGAGCTCCTGCGATCTTTGCTGGTTCACTGTGCGCTGCCAGGGCTCCCTGACACTGTGAGCCCCATGCGGTGTTCGGAATACCTCCTCTGAGGTCCCCTGAGGTTTCTGCCGCTCTCCAAAGGTCCAGGGCCTGCGAAGGCCTGCCCCGCACATTGAGAAGCGCACAGAAATATCACTGTGAGTAAGAGGAGGGTGGCGCGCACTAGGTTGCGCGGGCGTGAGATGAGGATGAGGATGAGGAGGAGGAGGAGGAGGAGGAGGAGAAGAAGGAGGAGGAGGAGGGGGAGGAGGAGGAGGAGAAGGATGAGCAGGAGGAGGAGGAGAAGGAGGAGGAGAAGGTGGAGGAGAAGAGAGAGGAGGAGGAGGAGGAGGAGGAGGGGGAGGAGGAGGAGGAGGAGGAGGAGGAGGAGGTGGAGGAGGATAATGAGCAGGAGGAGGCGGAGGATAAGGAACGCGCGAGGAGGATGCTGATGCTGATGATGATGATGTTGATGTTGATGACGATGACGATGACGATGATGTTGACGACGATGATGATGGTGATGATGATGACGATTCTGATGATGACGATGATGATGACGATGAGGATGTTGACGATGATGGTGTCTGTGATGATGGTGATGGAGATGGTGATGATGATGACGCCGCTTACGATGATGATGATGATGATGATGATGATGATGGTGATGATGATGATGATGATGATGATGATGATGATGATGATGATGATGATGATGATGATGATGATGATGATGATGATGACGATGACGATGACGAAGAAGATGGGGACGCTGATGATGCTTATGATGCTACCGATGATTATGATGATGCTGATGGTTAGGATGATGGTGCTGATGATGATGCTGCTGCTGCTGATGATGATGACCATGGCGATGATGATGATGATGATGATGATGATGATGATGATGATGATGATGATGATGATGATGATGATGATAATGCTGATGGCGACGACGATGATTGCGATGGTGATACTGATTATGGTGTTGCTGCTGCCGATGATTATCATTGTGCTCATAATTGTTTGAATGATCTGATAATTGCGATGCTGATGGCGACGGTGATGGAGATGATGATGGTTGTGAGCCTGATGGTGATGATCATACTAAGATTTATGCTGATGAGGATCATGCCTACGACGCTGGTGATGATGCCGACGATGGTGCTGCTGAGGATGACGGTGATGCTGATGATGTTGATGATGATGACCATGACTACTACGTTTTAACATTTCTGCTGCGATTGTGATGCTGATCTGGATGATGACGGCGATGATGCGCATGCTAGCGATGACTATGGACATGGTGGTGACCATCATGATATTGATATTGACGATGGTGGTGATGGTGATGAGGCGGATGGTGGTGTTGATGACAATGGTGCCGCTGACGATGATGTCTACGGTGGTGATGCTGATGGTAGAATTTAAGGTTTCGGCGATGACGACGATGATGATTTAGGTGATCATAAAGGCGATGCGGGTACTGATGAAAGTGACGGTGGTGATGGTGTTTTTTTGTGTTGGAGATGGGTTGTCATGATGATGGTGATGACGACCTTGGTAATCGTGACGGGAGTGACGACGAGGGCGATGGTGGTGCTGTTGGCGATGATAACGGTGATGATGACGAGGCTATGGATGATGATGATTGTGATGATGGTGGAGATGATGTGGTCTTGACTGATGGCGATACCGATGACGCTTGGAATTGAGATGCTGATGCTGATGCTGCTGCTGATGATGGTGATTGCGATTGCGATGACGATGATGATGCTGCCGACGATGATGATGATGATGATGATGATGATGAGGATGGTGGTGGTGGTGGTGATGATGATGATGGTAATGATGGTGGTGGTGATGATGATGACGACGATGATGATGATGATGATGATGATGATGATGATGATGATGACGGTATTGATGGTCACTGTAATTGCGGGGATGACTTTCTGGAATTGTGTTCGCGATTGCACGGATGATAATGCTTCTTGGGATGGTGATGAGGAGGAGGCGATGCGAGGGAGGAGGATGCACGACCGACGACGGACGACCGACGACCGACGACCGACTACGGACGACAGACGACGGCCGACGGACGACGACGATGTCCTCCTGCACCAATACTGGGATCCGTTCTGGCCAGAATTTTGAAGGGGATTCATCCGTGGCCACGGGGGCGCCTCCCACAGGCCCAATGAGGCCGAAAGACCAACCAAACCCCCTCGATTCCTGGATTCCTCGTGCCCCGAGCATCGATCAACGACGGTTGCGGCGGCGACGACGACAACGACCTTCTTCTGCTTCTTCCTCTCCTGGAGGAGGAGAAGGGGGTTCTTTGCTGCGATCTGTCTGGTAGGTCACAGCCACGGGCGACAGGATAATCGCCCGTCGCGCGCCGCTCTTCTCCACAGGGCGGCGCGAGGCGAAGATGGCGCGCGCCGCGCGCCGTGGTGCGCGGTGCGGGAAGCTGCGCGACCCGGGTCCTGGAGCCCGCCCCCGGGTGCGTCACCCCGCAGAGGTTGCTGTTCACGCCGTTTCGCATCTTGCTTGCTAAGCAGGCATGCTTGTCACCACCCACCAAACCACCCCAACCCAACCCGAAGGCTCAGATTTACCCTCGATTTCCAGTGGGGGGGGGTCGGGAAACGTAGAAAAAACACGTGTGGAACCCTTACCCCCCCCCAACCCGAAATTCGGGTCTTCGGGTTGGGTTGGGGTGGTCTGGCAGGTAGTCAGCTTGGCGCGCCTGCCGTCTTGGCATGAGGCGTCCCAGAAAGGGCCTCGCCCTCTCTTCCCCGGCGGGAGGGCGGCGGCAGGGCGGCGGAAGGCGGCGGAAGCAAAGCGAGGGCGCCTGCGCCGGCGGAAGCCGGCGGAAGGCCAGCGGCGGGCGGCGGAAGCAAAAGTGGATTTCCCAAGAGATGGCAACATGTCAGAGCCCCGAATCATCAGGGGTACCTCGGGTCAGGGATAACTCGGGTTCGTTTTTCGGGAGTCCGAACCCGAGTTATCCCGGACCCGAGTTACCCCGGATATTTCGGGCATCCAGAGCCCCGAATCATCAGGGGTAATTCGGGTCAGGGATAACTCGGGTTCGTTTTTCGGGAACCCAAACCCGAGTTACCCCGGACCCGAGTTACCCCGGATAACTCGGGCGCCCAAACATGTTTGGGTTCAGGGCTTCCGGAATCGGCCACGTCTTCCGGCCTGGCGCGTCGCCGGGAACGGTGGCGCTCCGCCCCCATTCCCTCAGGGCCGCGGTTCTGTGCTGTCATGTTCGGTGTGTCCCCCCCTCTGCAGAGGAGCCCGGGACGGAGGAGCACCTGGGCATCCTTGGGATCGTGGTGCACGTGCTCTTCATGCTGGAGGCGCTGCCTCGTCATCGCCGTATTCGTTCTCATCGCAGGAGAAGGAGGAGGAGCAGAAGGAGAAGCAGGAGGAGGAGGAGAAGGAGGATGAGGAGGAGGAGGAGGAGCCTGTTCCTCTTCGCCCTCCCTCCCGACCCCCCCGCGTCCTCCTTTTCCTCTGCCTCTCGTAGCCGTTCGATCGCGCATTTTTGCAATGGGCTCTTGCCACTCTGATCATGGCATGCCATTGTGCCAAGCCATCTTCCTCCTTCTCCTCCTCCTCCTCCTCCTCATCCCTCCTCCTCCTCCTCCTCCTCCTCCTCCTCCTCCTCCTCCTCCTCCTCTTCCTCCTCTTCCTCCTCCTCCTCCTCCTCCTCCTCCTCATCCTCCTCCCGAGCCCCGAGATGTCGCAGCCACTAGGCGTTACTCGACATCGTCGTCGCCGAAGCTCCTTCGAAGCTCCTCCTCCTCCTCCTCCTCCTCCTCCTCCTCCTCCTCCTCCTCCTCCTCCTCTTCCAAGCCCCTCTCTCTGCCCGCGCGCGAGCGCGCGCTGGGATCGATGGTGCACGTGCTTCTCATGCTGGAGGCGCCGCCTGGCCCCCGTCGGAGGGGGAAGGAGGGCGAGGACGGACGAGGAGGCGGACGAGGACGATGAGGCGGACGAGGACGATGAGGCGGACGACGACGACGACGACGACGACGACGACGACGACGACGACGATGACGACGACGACGACGACGATTCCGACGCGGACGTCGACGACGACGCGTTTGGACTCGGCCTTTCTGGGCCTCCTGAGGCCTCCAGATGGCTTTGTGGAGGCGGCACCTCCACGGGCTCTCCCAGGACCTCCAGGGAGCCTCCGGGGACCCCAGAACGGTTCAGACGTCCAGAAGCCTGGATCCTGGATCCTCCTCCTCCTCCTCCTCCTCCTTCTTATCCTCCTCCTCCTCCTTTCCCTCTTCCTCCATAACCTCCTCCTCCTGCCCTCTTCATGGCAGTCCACCGCTTCCTCCTCCTCCTCCTCCTCTCCTCCCGCTTCCTCCTCCTCCTCCTCCCTCCTCCTCCTCCTCCTCCTCCTCCTCCTCCTCCTCCTCCTCCTCCTCCTACCTCCCCTCCTCCTCCTCCCCTCCTCCTCCTCCTCCTCCTCCTCCTCCTCCTCCTCCTCCTCCTCCTCCTCCTCCTCCTCCTCCTCCTCCTCCTCTCTCGCAGCGCCCCACAGCGATCCCACTGACCAAGCGCCCGTAGCAGGGCCTAAACAAAAAGCCCCGAACGTCGCTCCAGCCGACCCACTCCGGGAGAAGAGAGGGACGCAGAGATGTGTTCATTCTTACACATGATGAACACAACGGGTGGAGAAGGGGAGTGCCTCTCAGTAGAGACCTGACGATAGACTCGAATCGCGCGTCTTTTTGGAGCCTCCTCCTCCTCCTCCTCCTCCTCCTCCTCCTCCTCCCCACTGCACCGTCCACTAAAACCCCTGAGGCTTCGGCCCCGTAGACACAAAGCCAGGCCTGAGGAAGTCACGAGCCCTCCTCCTCGTTCTCTCCGCTTCCCTCTCTCTCTGTCTCTTCCTTTGTTCATATCTATCTCTCTGTCTCTCCACCTTCTCCGTAGCCTTTTTTCGCTCGAGATGATGATTCCCCTTGGGAATCAAGCGGCGTCAATGATCCGAGGCGCAGTCTCCACAACCGTTGTGGCAGGACCTGATCCGCCTCAGGCCCCTGCCCGCCTCCTGCACCCCGCAGGTGAGCATTCCTTCTCAGCTGTCGTAATGCTGGGGTGCGGAGCTGGGGAGACAAACTATTTTCACTACAGGCAGTTCGGCTACACGCGAACATGAAACGCACGAGGGCACCGCGCAACCCAGCTCAAACCAGCGACCTCCACACCACGTTCGCCTTCGGGGGCCTGGGCATCGTGGCCGCGGAGGAAGCGTCTGCCAGCGAGCAGGAGCGTCGTGCAGACGCAGTGCGAGCACGGACACCCACCTTGGGTACAGAAGCAGCCAGAACGACACCAGCTACAACAAGAAGAACCTATTCCCAACGCGTCGAGCCTCCTCGACGGGCTCACGACGTATCTGGGGCAATGAGCCCTGGTCGACCCAGCGATGGAGGCGGTGATCACAATCCTGCGAGCAAAGGTCGGCGAGGAGAGCAACCCCCAAAGGCAACGTCAAACCGAGGACAGGGGTGCAGTTGCACGGCGACGCCATCGCGGGCATCAGTACGGTCGAGCAGCAGCTGGCCTAGCAGCGGAATACAATGGTGGACGCGCAGGTTTACCTGGACGACCAGCACGAGCACATGGAGAAGCTCGCGGGCCAGCTGGGGGAGGCATCAGCGCAGCAACGTGATGTACTCGGAGGCGAGCCGTGAATCAGATCTTGACGTCTCGCCGACTCCAGGGGAGGCGGAACCCGATTCGTGCTTCCAAGTCAAGTCCAAGTACGACCCGACCTTGTTCGAGTAGCTGGAAGAGTGTGACATCAGCCTTGACGAGAAAGCGAGCGCCCTCAAATGGCATAATGAGCTGGACCGATTCTGCAGGGACCACCTCGGGACGCGGGGCTCCAAGTTCTTGCACATCCAGAAAATTCACGCGAAGGTGAAAGAGGTCATGGCCAAGCCGAAGAAGAAGAAGAAGGGCAAGTTCGGCGAGAACGGGGAGATGGAACCCCAACCGCAGCAACAGCAAGAAACGAATGATACAGCAGCGGACGGCACTACGAAGCCGAGCCACGACACGGGCAAATGACAGGATCACGACTCCAGCGTCGAGGCGCAAAACCAGAAAAGCTCAGGGAGGCCAACCAAAAGGCTTTTGCACCAGCGCGGGCAATTCGGCGTAATAAGCAAGGTGATTCGGGTGCTTCTGCCTCCAGTGAATATGCTCCTGCCCAGCCGTCTCTTTGACGTGACATGGTGGTCGGCCGCCGCTGATGTAAATGAGGGTTCAGCGCCGATCTTGTTTGGACCCGGGGATCAGGCGCAGTCAGAGCGGTTGTCGACCACCACAGGACGTCAGGGCTTAGCGTCGCGATGTGAGGGCGGTCGCGTAAGACTGAAAGCGGGGCGGTCACAGGAGTTTCGCGTCCTCTTCGGCATTATCTTCTAGTTGGGGCTATTCTTGGGGCCGCAGATCGGTAAATCCATCAGGGGCGACGATTGCAAACAGCAGGTTTACCTTGCGATGGATGCCAGCCCAGACTACACGGTCAGAGTCAAGACGGCGTCGCAAAAGGGAGGCTGGAAGGCGACGGCCACAGTGGCAGTGTGTCGCGGCAGTCAGAAGAAGGGCATTCATGAGGAGAATTGGTGGCAGTACGCTTGCACTTCCCAGCGACGACGCTCGACCATTGGAGAGCCAAGCTAGACAAGCAAGGCGACAGTGTGTTCGTCGGCCACGCCCCAGTGGTCCTGCACCTCAGCACTGGCAACCTCGCCCTCATTGCCACCTACCCCCACCCGGACCTCAAGTTCACGGGAAGGATTCGCAATCCATTGGCGGCGTTGGCAGCCTTCGTTAACGTGAAGAGGGGCCCTTTGTGTCGTCATGGCCCGCTGGAATTGCGGGCCCGCAGACTTATGATACGACGAGAACTCCACTGGAGCTGGCTGCGCTACGCGCGGCAAAGGTAAGGGCTCCCTCTGCGACTGCGGCATAGCGTCGGAGGGACACATGCAGGCGAACCATCGGCCACCGATATTTGCTTGCTATAGGAACGTGCTGCAGTTCCTGTGCTTCGAGTGCGTGAAGATCGAGATATCGTGTTGCGCGTTATGTTCGTTTCAGTGCATACCACGAAATTCATTGCGAGCGCCGAGCCCGACACGCTTATATCTTGTCCGAGCGTTTTTTTCCTTCACCATGCGGTGGCTCCTGCAGGTCTCTTTGGGCTCTTTTGCGGTGGCCTTTCGGGGCTTTCTTGGGGACATCCTGGGGCAGCTTCCTGCGACATCCTGAGGAACCGTTTTGTGGTCTCTCTGGGCCCCCTCCCTCATGGAGCTAACGTGTGCTTCTATCGGCCTCCTGGGGCACCCTGGTATCGCCTCGTGCCCTCTGGGCGCCTAGTGCCTGGTGCGCCTGGAGTTCCTTGGTGCCTCCTGGCACCCCGTGGCGCCACCTGTGGCGCAGCCGTGGCGCACCTCTCGTGCAGCTGGTGGCGCACTTGCGCACTTGGTGGCGCGCCATGGTGCGCATGAGACGAGAGCACCACTCCGAGGAGGAAGTCGGATGCAGGCGCGACCTGCGGCTCTCTCGGTCTCGTGGTGGGGCTCCCTGGGGGCCACCTGGGCCTCCCCCGGGGAAGCTGGGACCGTTTGGGCCCCGTTCACCGTTGGCAGCGCCCAAGCTTCCATGGACTACCCTTGCAGTGGTGGCCCAGTTCCTCACACTAGCAGCCCGTCGTGGGCCCAGTATGGAGGCGGTTTTAAGTAGCAGCGCGCAGTTGAAGGAGCATTCCAGTAGTGCTCCGCCGCCTGCGCGCCACAGAAGAGCGCCATCGCCGCAGCAGGCTCACAAGGGCTGCCATCAAGTTACCTTGGGTCCATCCCGCCACTGTCACCGTGCCTGGGTCGTGAACCACCGGCCTCTTCGTGCGGTATCGTAAACTCAGGTGGCAACCTCCTTGACGACACCACGACTACATGAGGGGACGGAGAAACACGATGATGATGCTGCTGATGATGCTGATGATGCTGATGATGCTGATCAGGCTGATGCTGTTGATGATGATGCTGCTGATGATGATGATGATGATGATGATGATGATGATGATGCTGATGCTGGGTCTGATGATTATGCTGATGCTGATGCTGATGCTGATGATTATGATGTCGCTGCTGATGATGATGATGCTGGTGATGATGACGGTGATGATGATGGTGCTGATTTTGATGACGATGATGAGGATGGTGAATGTGATGATGATGATGATGATGAGGATGAGGATACTGATTATGCTGATGATGATGCTGCCGATGTTGATGATGTTGACTGTGGTGATGATGAGGCTTTGGTGATGATGGTGCTGCTGATGCTGCTGATGCTGCTGATGATGTTATTGATGATGCTGATGATGATGCTGCTGATGATGATGCTGATGATGATGACGGTGATGATGATGGTGCTGATGGTGATGATGCCGTTGGTGATGATGCCGATACTGCTGATGCTTTGGCGGTGGTGGTGGTGGTGGTCATGATGATGTTACATTATGATGCTGATGTTGATGACGATGGTGATGATGATGCTGATGATGACGAAGAAGACGACGATGATGTTGCTGAGGATGAAGCCCTCTCGGCAACGATGCTGATGATGCTGATGAGGATGCGAATGCTGATGCTGCTGATGATGCTGCTGATGATGAGGAGGAGGAGGAGGAAGGAGAAGAAGAAGAGGAGAACGAGGAGTATAAGGAGGATGAGGAGGCACATGCGGAGGAGGAGAAGGATGAGGAGGAGGAGGAGGAGGAGGAGGAGGAGGAGGAGGAGGAGGAGGAGGAGGAGGAGAGGAGGAGGAGGAGGAGGAGGAGGAAGGAGGAGGAGGACAGGATGAGGAGGCGGAGGAGGAGGAGGAGGAGGAGGAGGAGGAGGAGGAGAAGGGGAGGAGAGGAGGAGGAGGAGGAGGAGAAGGAGGAGAGGAGGAGGAGGAGGAGGAGGGAGGAGGACAAAGGAACGTGAACGGGGAGGACGTTGACGAGGAGGCAGTGAGGGGAGGAGGAAGGGGATTAGAGGAGGGGAGGAGGAGGGAGGAGAGAGGAGGAGGAGGAGGAGGAGGAGGAGGAGGAGGAGGAGGAGCAGGAAGGGGACGAGGAGGAGAGGAGGAGGAGGAGGAGGAGGGAGGAGGAGGAGGGAGGAGGAGGAGGAGATGAGGAGGAGGAGGAGGGAGGAGGAGGAGGCGGAGGAGAAGGAGGAGGAGGAGGAGGAGGAGGAGGAGGAGGAGGGAAGAGACAGTGTGACCTGCAGTCGCACCAATACCAGTCCCGCGGGGGCGGCCTCGTGTCGTGGCTGAGGTGCTCGACTTCTGCCTGAAGGTGTCCGCGTACCAGCAGGACTTCTTCACCAAGATCCCGAACAGGCGGTCCCATGGGGGCGGCCGCGGTCTATTTGGGCGGAGGGGGGGGGGGGCAAGAAGCAGACGGGGCCAGGAGTGAGGGGGAGCGGGGAATAGAAGGGGAGAGAGAGAGACACCTAGAGAGAGGGAGCGCGCGCGACGATGACGATGACGACGACGACGACGCCCGTCGCGCCTCCGCCGCGCCGGGCTTTAATCCCAGCTCCGCCTCGGCCCCCCGAGCCGCGCCCCCCGAGGAGCACGTGCGTTCGAGGAGGCGGGGGAGGCGGGGGCAGAGTGGGAGAACGCAGACCACTCACCATCACGGGGGGGCAGAGATACAGTAGGGGTCTTGAAGAAGGAACCCTTTTCGTTGGGGAGGGGCTCGGTGTTCCTTGATGGTTTCAAAGTTTGCCTCGGATTTCCCTGAGGTGTTCCAAAGGACACCGAGGTTGAACTTATGGGACAAAGGGGCCTCGTTCCTTATTTAGGGTTCCTTAGGTCAACGCCCCGACTGTAGAGAAAGACCTCGTCTAGTAAGCAGGCCGGTGATGATGGTGTCGGCGTCGGAACTAGTTACAGCTTACGGGCCACGAAGCAGCGAGTTCCTTGAGCTGCCAGTGGTATCTCGCATTATGGGCCTCACCCTACTTTCTGAGACACGCCCGTCAATGGCAACAAACATGTGAAGGAGGAGGAGGAGACCGCGGAGGAGGAGATTAGTTGTGGTGGGAGATTTCGGGGTACCCCAAAATCGTCCAGCCGAATGTCATACATCCAGTGCCGTGTTCGCCCGCTTCCGCAGGCACGCGCGCCACATATAGTCGGTTGCTGCGCGTTCCTGCTATTTGAGAGGACTCATCGGTCCTTATCCCTCGGTCAGCCCACACCTCCTACACAACACCAATTTGTGGCTGAATTGGCCTCATTCTTGCGTCGCTGGCGTTGACTTCTTCCTTGCCCACCACAGCACGCATTTCGTGGCCGAAACCTTCAACCCCGCGCCAACGGTCCACCAGCCTGAGGCTTTATACCTATACGACCACCCTTCGGGTGATAAGGAGGTTGTGGCTCAATCGATCTCACTATCGATCTCACTCAACGGGAGACCACGGGACACCACGGGACACCACGGGACACTTGTCGATCTCACGATCGATCTCACTATCGATCTCACTCAACGGGACACCACGGGCCACCACGGGCCACCACGGGACACCACGGGACACCGCGGGACACCTCTCGATCTGACTAGTTATCGGTTTCACTATCGATCTCACTATCGATCTCACTGAACGGGACACCACGGGACACCTTGGGACACCATATCGATCTCCATATCGATACCTATACGACCACCCTGCGGGTGATAAGGAGGTGAGGGGGGAGGGGGAACCAACGTCTCACTCAATCGATCTCGCTATCGATCTCGCATTCGATCTCACTATCGATATCACTATCGATATCACTATCGATCTCCCTATCGATCTCACTATCGATCTCACAATCGATCTCACAATCAATCCCACATTCGGTCTCACATTCGGTCTCACTGTCGATCTCACTATCGATCTCACAATCGATCTCACAGTCGATCTCACATTCGGTCTCACATTCGGTCTCACTATCGATCTCACTATCGATCTCACAATCGATCTCACAATCGATCTCACATTCGGTTTCACATTCGGTCTCACTTTCGATCTCACAATCGATCTCATTATCGATCTCACAGTCGATCTCACTATCGATATCACAATCGATCTCGCAATCGATCTCACATTCGGTCTCCGAGCTCTCAGAATAGAGCTCACATTCGAACCCTCCCCCCTCATCTCCTTACCACCAGCAAGTACTTGGTCATGTACTCGACGACGAGCAACATCGTCATCATCAACATCAGCATCATCATTATCATCATCGGGACACCATCATCATCACCATCATCAATCATCATCATCACCATCATACTCATCATCATAGGGACACCATAATCATCAACATCATCATCATCATCAACACCATCATCATCGGGACACCATCATCATCATCATCCCATCATCATCCTCAACATCGTCATCATCATCATCATCATCATCATCATCATAATCATCATCATCATCATCATCATCATCATCATCATCATCATCATCATCATCATCGGGACACCATTATCGTCATCATCATCATCATCCACACAATTACCATCGTCATCATCACCATCGGGACACCATCATCATCATCGACATCATCATCATCAACGTCATCATCATCATCATCATCATCATCATCATCATCATCATCGGGACACCATCATCATCATCAACATCATCATCACCATCATCAACATCATCATCAACATCATTGTCATCGGGACACCACCATCATCAACATCATCAACGTCATCATCACCATCAGCACCATCATCATCACCATCAGCACCATCATCACCATCATCACCATCATCATCTCATAATCGATCTGACTATCGATCTCACAATCGATCTCACTATCGATCTCACAATCGATCTCACATTCGGTCTCACTTTCGATATCACAATCGATCTCACAATCGGCGTCATCATCATCATCATCATCATCATCATCATCATCATCATCATCATCTTCAACATCATCATCATCATCACCATCATCATCATCATCATCATCATCATCATCATCGCCATCATCAACATCATCATCCTCATCACCATCATCATCATCACCATCATCATCATAATCATCATCATAATCAGCATCAACATTATCATCGGGACACCGACGGGACACCGACGGGACACCAGCGGGACACCGGCGGGACACCGCGCGCCACCGGCCGCCCGGAAGAGACACATTTGGTCCGGCCGCGCCTCAGCCACAGGAACACCGACGGGACACCGGCGGGACACCGGCGGGACACCGCGCGCCACCGGCCGCCCGGAAGAGACACATTTGGTCCGGCCGCGCCTCATCCACAGGAGACTTTCCTCTCGCCTGCCCACGCAGCTTCGCCTCGCCCGCACGCACGGCACGCACGAACACGAAACCGAAATCGATTTCCCGGTAGGGGGGCTCTCCGTTCCACTTCGATCTCACCACCTCACCTCCGATCACTATAGATCTCACTCAACGGGACACCACGGGACACCACGGGACACCGACGGGACACCCGCGGGACACCAGCGGGACACCGGCGGGACACCGCGGGCCAGCGGCCGCCAGAGGAGAAACATTTGGTCCCGCCGCGGCCCAGCCACAGAAGGATTTCGGGACACCAGCGGGACGCCGGCGGGACACGTCGGGCCAGCGGCCGCCGGAGGAGAAACATTTGGTCCGGCCGCGGCCCAGCCACAGGAGGGTTTCCTCTCGCCCGCCTACGCAGCTTCGCCTCGCCCGCACGCACGCACGGCACGCACGACACGAACCCGAAACCGAAATCGATTTCCCGGTAGGGGGGGTCTCCGTTTCACGTCGGACTCACCCCCCAACCTCCGCCTTTTCGAGCTCGGACACGGGCAAGCGTCAACCAACGAAAACCGACATTGTCTTCCAGACTACGTGCAGGCGTAATGTGCACTAACAACCAGCACGGCCCCTCAAACCACCCGCTTGGGAGCAAAGGGCTCCGACATTATTCCCGTAGTGAGCGCGAGTCCACGCTCCCATGGAGGATGCGGCGACTCGTTTGGGGGCCATCGTATTTGATGTCGTATGGTTTGCCTGGAGCGCTGCCCTTGGATGAATGACGCGTGGCACACCCGATACATTTACCGAAGTTCCATGTCAGACCCCGGTGGCGACGTATCGGGAGGACGCGCCAAGGAGGACGACGCGCGTGCAGGTGCGCGCGCCACACACACACATGATCGGCTGCCGCGCGTGACCGTGGTCTGAAAGGTTCAATTGATCCTTACTCTTCTGTGGTCCCAGGCCTGTTCGCCCGTGTACATCCTTACACGCTACCTGTATACGTATGCATGTGCAGCTTTGCACATGTGTCTGTAAGTGTGTATACATGTCCGTCTGCCTGCATGTCGTTATTCACGATTGCATGCATGCATGTTTGTATGCATGTATGTATTATGTATGCATGTACTGGTGTACATATGTATGTATGCATGCCTGCATGAACGTATGTATGTATGTATGCATGTATGCATGTACTCACGTATGTATGCATGCATGTATGTATGTCGAGCTGTCTGATGGTCGGTCTGTCTGGACTGGTGTATGCATATTGTAGGTATGTAAGTACATCTGCATGCATGCAAGTATACATGCATGCATGCATGCATGTATGCGTGTAGGTAAATCTATGCATATTGGCGTCTGCATGGCACCTTCGAATCATGGCGCACACGTGTGCTAATGGGCATTGTGATGGTGTTAGCATGGTATTCGTCATGGGATGGGGTGAAGGTTGGGGATGTGCACGAGGAGGAGAGGCGCCCCCCCCGACGGGCGTCTAGCGACCACCCTGTCCAATTTGCCCGTGGCAAGCTACGGGTCTTGCTGAGTCGCTGGCAGACCGTCGGCGGTATGTGCACACATATATACACAACTACAGACACATACATAACTGCGCATGTATCCATCATGTGAAATAGCTTCTCCCAGTCTGCCGTGAGGAGACGGCGGCCCGCGGGAGGCTGGCGGTATGCGCTCGAAAAAAATAAGGGGGGAGGAGGAGAGACGGGGATGAGGGGGGACGGGGTCCCCCCGTTGTGCCCCTCGCCTCTTCAACCCCCCGTGCGGGGCCGCTTCCAGCCCCCGAACCTCCCCCGCCGCCTCGCGCCCCGTCCTGCTGCCGAGGCTCGACGCGGGGCTCACATTCTTGGCGGCCGGCGCTATCATCTTCGAGATCGCGGCCTCTGGCTCGCACGACCCGACGGGATGCCTCGAAAATTTCGGATTGCTCGCGTTGGGGTAAAGGGTTCTTGAGCGAAACGGGTCCCATGTCCCGTACTCTTGTCGCGAGTTTGCGGGCTTCCGTGGCCCTCTCCGGGCCCCTGGGCCGTCAAAGAACTACTCAAGATGCAGAGCAGGTCCCAAGGGCACGCCCTGGTCTCCAGGACCCGTTTCCCTCAGGACCCGTCTCTTTCATTACACGCAAATCAAGCCATTTTATTTTCTGTTAGCGCTGCCTTCAGCCGCCGAGGAGCCGCTCCCAGGCCCCAGGACTGACAGACGACGGCCCAGGATGAAGCGCCGGCTCCACGGAAGGGTTCCAGAGCACAGGAGCCGACGGACTGGGAACAGAAACTGTATGTCGGAGGTCTGGGCAGGCAGTGCCAGCCGCCCGGATTGACGACCAACCGACCGATTGATGCCTCACCAGAATGAGGAGTATGATGAAAGGGGAGAGGGATCGAGGGAACGGAAAACAGGATCAAAGTGCGTGGATTAGCGGGGCGTTCCGTTTCCATACAAGAATCGGCTCGCACCGTGGCAAAGTCATGCGGCGCTGGCTTCATGTTTAGGGCGAGGGGGGGACCTTTCCCCCCCCTACGCCCACGGGCTAGATCCACGGATCCGTAATCTGGGTCAACGTGTGCCCGAGGGGATGGTCACGGATATTACTGAGTGGGTTTGCCTTCCGCACCTCAGGCCCTGTGATGAGAAGGGTGATGACCGGGATGAGGAAGGGGATCGGACAGTTTCGAAGAGCAAAGGACGGTCAGGCTGAGGAGCAGGAGGAGGTCTCTCCTTCAGGCAGGGCACCCGTAATTACCCAGTCAGGACTCGGCAGCGGAGATCTTCCTGGGCACGCCCGTCACCCAGTGGATCCGGGGCGCCGCCGTGATGCAGGTCCCCTGGTGCCGTCGCCGTCGGCGTCGTCGGCGTCTTCGCCATCGGATCGAGGATCGGGGCTCCGCACTTCCTTTTGGTCGGGGGCCTTTGCTCAGCGCGCCGCTCCGCTGGTTCGGAGGAGGAGGAAGAGGAGGAGGAGGAGGAGGAGGAGGAGGAGGAGGAGGAGGAGGAGGAGGAGGAGGAGGAGAGGAGGAGGAGGAGGAGGAGGAGGAGAGGGAGGGAGAGGAGGGGGGAGGAGGAGGAGGAGGAGAGGAGGAGGAGGAGGAGGAGGAGGAGGAGAGGAAGGAGGAGGAGGAGGAGGAGGAGGAGGAGGAGGAGGGGGAGGAGGTCGGGAGGAGGAGGGGAGGAGGAGGAGGAGGAGGAGGAGGAGGAGGAGTGCAGGGGCCCCTCCAGCGCGGCACACGCGGACCACTTCCCAACGTCCTCGGCGTCGGCGTTCCGAGCTTCCCCTCAAGTCGGGGGCGGCAGAGAGGGGGGTGAGGATAGGAGGGGGGAGGAGGAGGAGGAGGAGGAGGAGGAGGAGGAGGAGGAGGAGGAGGAGGAGGAGGAGGAGGAGGAGGAGGAGGAGGAGGAGGAGGAGGAGGAGGAGGAGGAAGACCCAAGATTGCCCACCTACCCGGAGGGGGGAGGAGGAGGAGGGAGGAGGAAGAGGAGGAGGAGGAGGAGGAGGAGGAGGAGGAGGAGGAGGAGGGGGGGTGGATATCGTGGCGGGGGCCATGATATTTCCCCAGATCTCATGGCGCCTCTTCTCGTTTCATTGCGTCCCTGGCCCCTCCGCTGGGCCGCGCACGTGCCGCCGGCCATGATCTGCACGCCCCCCTCTTGGACACCCCCCTCTCGGCCGCTCCCGATCAAGTCTCGCACCGCGGAGCGGAGCGGCACGCTGTCCGGTGCCGAGGCACGGCGTGTCGCCGGGCCGCCGCCGAGACACGTCGAGCAGCAGCCTCGCGCCGTCCTGCCTGCGGCTCTGACTACGTGCGCGTGGGCGCCGTTTCGCTCGGCCAGAGCTCGCTGGCCGCGCGCAGGCCGACCTGCGTCCGCCACCTGCTGCGGCGCGAGTGCGGTGCCTTGCCGTGCCGTGCCGTGCCTCGTCCGCGGGGTGCAGCCGGGCTGGGGTACAGTCGGGGCCCTGGAGAAGGAACCCTTTTCGTTGGGGAGGGGCTCCGCGTTCCTTACGTGTTTCGCAGCTTGCCTCAGGTGTTCCTTATGTTTTCGACCGGAGATCGAAGTTTAACTTATGGAAAAAAGGGGCCTCGTTCCTTATTTAGGGTTCCTTAGGTCAAGGCCCCGACTGTACAAGACCGAGGTCGGTTCGGGGAGGGTACCCTCGTGCTTCTCGTGCTCGTTGGACGCTCTTGTGCATCCTGGGGAGGGTCCCCTGGAAGGACGTTGCAGGGGAAGCCCATGCCAAGAAGCACCCTGATTGCGTCCAGGGTACCCTGTTTTCTTGGGTTCCGATGGTTCTGCGATGGATTGCTGGACGTGCCCACACCCAAAACCAGTGGACGTCCTGGGGTCTCAGGGTTGGGCTTCCCGTGGGAAGTTTCTTGTGGACTGGCCTCCACTGCATGCTGGCCTGGGCCCGACTGTACCTGGGGCGAGACGCGGATGCTCAGAGGGGGGCCAGCCGAGACAACCGCGGCCCTCCCCAGCGCTTAGCTCGCCCTTTGTTCTGGCGGCCCTCGGGGGGCCTCTCCTCGCCACGGCCGGAGATCCGTCTCGAGGAGGCCGGACCCCGGGAGGGGGCCCCGGGGGACGATTTGGGGCGGACTGGGGTCGGGCGGGGGAGGAGCCCGGAGAGAGATCCGGGCGCTGCCACTTTTTTCGCCACGGGCGCCCTCGCCCCGCTTCGGGCCCCGGGACCCTCCCAGCCCGGCCTGGCTCGAAGCAGGACGCAGGAGGGCATGTTCAATTCCTGGGCCGGAGGAGGAGGAGGAGGAGGAGGAGGAGGAGGAGGAGGAGGAGGAGGAGGAGGAGGACATGGGGTCTGGGGCTCCAGGCGTGATTTCTGTACCGAGGTGGCCATTTTTTGCCCGCTGCGTCGGATCCTGCAGGTAGCCGCCGATGTCTCGGCTGGCCTGCCTCCGAGGTGCCGTGCCGCACCCGGGGCTCTGCGCACACCGCTGCCCGCTGCGGGGCCCCCTCCCCTCCTCCTCCTCCTCCCTCCATCCTCCTCCTCTTCCTCCTCCTCCTCCTCCTCCTCCTTCCTCCTCTCTCCTCTCTCCTCCTCCTCATCCTCCTCCTCCTTCCTCCTCCTCCTCCTCCTCCTCTCTCCCCCCGGCCCACGGTGGCTCCGCTGGTGTGCTCCCTGGCCTCCCAGGGGAGGGGTCCGAGTGGGCGGGGTCGGAGGCTCGCGCCGCCTCGCCGCTGCGTCGGCGATGCGGCGCGACATGGGGCCCGAAGTTCTCCACGCCGACGGGCCGATGCAGCACCAGCGTCGCTGCATCACCTGCGTCGCCGATGCATCGGCGATGCATCGGCGATCGTCCGACCCCATCTGCTTGGACCCCAACTAGGAGGCTAGAAGCACATAACTGTGCGGGCCGGGCCCAGTTGTGATGCATGCTGTGGGTATTTGCCACTATTGTAGTGGCCTCCGGCCAGTGCCGCCGATCCGGGGCGCTCCTGATGCTATTGTTGTTGAAATGGACGATGACGGCGACAACGGACGACCAACGGTCGACGAGCGGGATAATTACGACGACGACCGACGAAGGAGTTAATGACGACGAACTGACGACGACGACGACGACGACGACGACGACGACGACGACGACGACGACGACGACGACGACGACGACGACGACGACGACGACGACGACGACGACGACGACGACGACGACGACGACGACGACGACGACGACGACGACTGACGGCGAACGGCTGCCGACGGCCGACGACCGACGACTGGTGACGGCGACGGGTGGAAGGTTCTTCGTTCATCGCTTTCGGTTCCGAGCAATACCAAGTCAGGCCGTGCACCTCTGGCCTGGCAGCACGCGAGTCAGCGTCTCTTGGGGCCTCTTGGTTCTTGGGGCTTCTTGGGGGCCTTTGGGGCCTCTTGGGGGCCTCTCGGGGTCCTCTTGGGGGCCTCTTGGGGACCTCTGTGGGGCCTCTGGGGGCCCCTTGGGGGCGCCTCGGGGGCATCTTGGGGGCTCTTGGGGTCATCTTGGGGTGGAGGACTAGAAGGGTCCGTTCGGGTTCACCCTCTTGAGGCCATCTGGGGGGCCTCTCGAGGTCGTCTTCGGGGGCCTCCAGGGCTATGTTGGGTCCCTCTTGGACCGTCTTGGCTCCTCTTGGGGGTCTCTCGGGCTGTCTTGGGGCGATCTTGGGGGCCTCTTGGGCCGTCTTCGGCGCTTCAAGACGGAAAAGGCGATAATGCCAAAATGCTTCAAAACTTATTAGCAACTTTATTATTGTACCCTCTTGGGGCCCTCTTGGGGGTCCTCTTGGGATCTCCTTGAGGCGTCTTGGAGGCCTCTTGGGCCGTCTTCAGGCCATCTTGTGCGTCCAGGAGCGCTCTTGGGCCGTTTCGGGCGCCTCCTGGACCGTCTTGTTGGCTTCTTGGGCCCCTTTTGGACCGTCTTGGGGCGGTTTGGGATTCCCGAGGGGGGGGGGGAAAGAAAGGGTGAACCCGATGAACCCCCCCCCCTCCCCCCCTACCCCGGCAGAGCCACCCCGGCCCCCCCCCCAGCAGAGCTGAAGCTCAGGATGTAGCTTTCGTAAGCTCACACGCCGGATCGGCGGATTTCTTTCGCCAGCTCGCGCCAGGTTTTGAGAAAGGGTAGTGCGCGATGCGGTCGGGGCATGGGCCCTCTTGGTGCTATTTTGTTGCAGGCCCACGCGACGACGACGACGGCGGCGGCGACGACGGCGACGGCGACGACGAGGACGATGACGACGAGGTGTCTCCAGCCTCCCCGTCGGAGGCCTTATTGTCTGCCCGCCCAGCCCGTCTTTTGGGGGAGGGGCGGTGCTCCCTCAGGGGCCTGGCCGGCGTCTGCCCGCTTGGCCCTGGCATCCACGCGGCGCCGCGGGCGCGCAGGCAGACGGGCGCGTCCCACGCGTGGGCTGGCCTCAGGAGGAGGATCGTTTCGTCTCCGACCCCGGCTCCCATCTCTCTGCAGCTGGTCGTCTTTCCGATCCCGGCTTCGACCTCTCCGAAGCCGGCTCCCCTTTTCGACTCCTGCCCCCAGCACGTCTCGCGTCTCCTCAGGGCTCTGCCCCCCCCCACCCCGCGCTGCCCTCCGAGGGCCGGTCCCGCCGGACCGACGTCGCGCGCTCGCTGGCTCGCTCCCTCCCCCCCCCCCCTCCCCACAAGGGGGTAATCGGAGGACACAGCTGCTCCGCCGCCTGGGAGGTCGTCTCACCGCCCACCAAAACACCCCAACTCAACCCGAAGGCCCCGATTTGCCCTCCATTTCCAGTGGGGGGGGGGTCGGGGAACATTGAAAAAGCACATATGCATCAGATGTAGATGTAGATGTGTAGATGTGCAGATGTAGATGTAGATGTGTGGATGTAGATGTAGATGTGTAGACGTGTAGATGTGCAGATGTAGATGTGGACGTGTCCCGTACCCCCCCCCAACCCGAAATTCGGGTCTTCGGGTTGGGTTGGGGTGGTCTGGTAGGTAGTCATCGTCTGCGCTCCTGGTGGTCCTGTCTTACTTCTCGTGTGGCCCAGCTGGTTTGATCCCCTCCCCGGGGGAAGGGGATGGCAGCGTCGGAGCTCGGCCCTCATCCCTCGGTCGGGGGTGGACAGAACCCCCACCCTGACATGTCGATTAGTGAATTGTTTTTTTTTTTGTTCAGCGCACATTTTGGGAGGAGAAGGAGGAAAGCTGAGGGGACGATACGCGACGCCGTAATCCATCCAGTCCACTCTGGCTCGAAATCGGCAGCTTGGCAGCGTGGTTGCCACAATCGGTCGTCACGCGCACCAGTGCTCGCAGTAAAAAAAAAAAAATGTCGATTAGTGAATTGTCCGTTTTCGGTTCTCGAGAGGGCGCCGCGGCTGTCATTTTCCAGGCTTGCGCCCGCAAGGGTTGGGCCCGCGGTCGTTTTCAGAAAACCACCTTTCACTAAAGGGGGTTTCCGTCCGTCCCCGAATGCCCCCAGCTGCAGCGTCAGGAGGGGGATGAGGAGGTCCAGAGGGAAGTCGAGATGCATCAACGGTGCTGCAATTCGCCTCCCGTCACAAGTCCCGTCCTCATTGGTCCCTGCAAGTACTCCTGACCACTGCGGGAAGCGCCCCCCTCGCCATTCTGGCGAGAACAAGTTGTGTAAATTGCCCATCCTGCTGGCAACGAGAAGTTCAAAGGGGTTGGGCCATAAAGTTCAGTGAATGGTTATTTTGATCCACGACCCAGACCCCTCATCATAGGTTCCTGCAGTCATTCCTACTCACTGCGGGCAGTGCGCCCTTGAAAGACGAGCGCCTCACAGGCCGTCCATTCAGGCGAGAGCCTGTCTTGAAACTGAGCCCTTCAATATTCATAGTGGTGCACAATGCTACTCTTCGGGACTCGGAACGTATGCATCGAGGAAGTCTCAAACGAGGGCTCTTTTTTGGAAAGGAACCGACTTCGCTAATGCGAGAGCCGCGCTTTGGAAACGACCCTCTTTCCATTCGTAGAGTTATTTGGAAGCTTGGAGTTCATACCTGGTGAAGAACTATCAGGCGAAACGCCAGGATCGGCCTAATTACCAGCACTTCCGGTAGAGCGACGAGGATGAGTTGTTAGTCAGGAAGTGGGATAGAGGAGAAGGGTACCCTCCCTGCCCCTCTCTCTCCCCCTCGTTCATTATCCTCCGTCCTCCTGCTCCGCCTACCCCCCTCCTCCACCCTCACCTTTTTTCCCGATCTTCTTCTTCTCCTCCGCCCCTCCCTGATTCCTCGTTCCTCGTTCCATCTGAGTCCTCTGCCTTTGGAGGTATCCGGAGGTCAGTGGGGGCTCCCAGAAGCTTCAGAGGCCTTTCTGCGCCTTCCACAACCCAAGAAAGGGCCAGCATTTCTCAAGCCCTAAGCTTTTCGATCCCCCTTTTCCTCCTCCCGTGCTCCTCGTCCACATTCCTTTGGTACTGTCGCTCGGCCTCCTCCCGATCTATGGCAGGCTCGTGCCGTCGTCGCGACACGAACAAGTCCTGTCGTCTCCCCCCCAGGCAGAATCTGTCAGAGAGCGTGCGGGGGGGGCGGGACCAGCGGCCATCACGGCGTTCCCCGAGAGGTGCTGCGGGTGCACAAGCTGACCCACGCGGTCCACGCGTGGGCCGGCCTCAAGAGGACACGCGGGAGAGTGAAACGCATCGGCCACCGCCAACTCGGACCTCTGGCGTCCTGAGAGAATCAGGAAGTTACGTGTTCGATCAGGGTTCCCTTGCTAACGCGAAATATCCTGCTTTCACACCGGTGACCGCCGAAGATCGCCGAAAACCGTGTCGGGCCACCGTCCCTACCGCCGAAGACCGCCGAAGGACCGCCGAAAACCGCCGAAGACCGCCGAACACCGCCGAAGATCGCCAAAAGACCGCCGAACACCGCCGGAAAACCTCCGAAGACCGCCGAAAGATCGCCGAAGATTGTCGAAAACCGCCGAAGACCGCCGAAAGACCGCCGAAGACCGCCGAAGACTGTGTCGGGTCCCAACGCCCGTGGCGGGGCGCGCGCCCGCTGGCGGTTTCCGGTGGTCTTTCGGCGGTCGTCAGAGGCCAAGATGCGTGGCGAGGGGTCCATGATCGAACACGTAAGGAAGGAGGAGGAGGAGGAGGAGGAGGAGGTGGAGGGGGAGGAGGAGGAGGAGGAGGAGAAGAGAAGAGAAGTTGGAAGAGGAGGAGGTGGAGGAGGAGGAGGAGGTGGAGGCGTAAGGAGAAGGAGGAGGATGGGGAGGACGCGAAGGAAAGGAAGCGGCATCTGACAGCGTTCTTCAGGACTTAGGCGTCCTGGAGAACCTAGGGGGGACGAGGATCAGGATGAGGATGAGGATGAGGATGTGGATGATGATGATGATGATGATGATGATGATGATGATGGTGATGATGGTGATGATGATGATGCTGATGATGATGATGATGATGATGATAATGATGATGGCGGTGTTGGTGATGGTGATGATGATGCTGCTGAGGATGAGGATGATGCTGATGCTGATGATGACGATGCTGATGATGAGGATGATGCTGATGATGATGATGATGATGATGATGATGATGATGATGATGATGAGGATGAGGATGAGGAGGATCATGAGGAGGAGGAGGAGCAGTCGCGCCACAGAAAGCCCCATGATACGCGCAGTCTTTCGATCCAGCTGGCATCAGCGTGTCGTATTACATGACATCACACATGTACAACCATGGTGCACTGCTCGCATACGCGTTCAAGTGCACGCAATGCATTGCGGACACATGAGTAACATTCCTTGGCACAAGATTTGCCAGCATAGTGCCACTCCTTTTGCTTCTGGTGCCCAGTGGCGCGGCAGCCAAGACATCGCATTCGTAAGGGGACTGGAGAGGATTGTTGGGTCCAGGACTGCAGTACCCCATCGGGGGGACCACTTCCCAATTTAACCCGCGTCAGCCATCGTCATCCCCAAGTTCGGAGCCCCGCCGCCAGATGCCTTCGGCCCAATCCGCCACAGTGCCTTGGTCTCTGACCATAGGCCTCTGAGAGACCTCTCGGGGTTACTTGGTAGGCCCCCCTGTGGCCTCTTGAAGGCTTTTTGGGGTATCTCGGGGGCCTCTTGGAGGTGTCTTGGGGGGCTTCCCGGGGCCTCTTGGGGGCCTCTTGGGGATTTCGGGGGCTATGTTTTGGGAATGGATCGAAGTATCATTACGTGTTCCCCCTATTGGGCCCCTCTTGGGGCCATTATTGAGGGCCGTTTGTGGTCTTTTGGTGGTCTCGGGGGCCGTCCTGGGACGACACGGGGGGTCTGTTGGGCCTCCCTGGACGCTCTTAAGGCGGAAAGGGCGAGGGTGCACAAACCGTGGAACACCTTAAGATGTTCAGTGATGATGATGGTGATGATGCTGCTGATGATGTTGATGATGATTATGATGATGCTGATGCTGATTATGATGCTGCTGATGATGCTGATGATGCTGATGATTCTGATGATGTTGCTGATGCTGATTATGATGCTGATGATGCTGATGATGATGATGATGCTGATGATGACGATGATCATGATCATGATCATGCTGAAGATGATGCTGAGAGATGATGATGATGATGGTTGGTGATGAGGATGATGCTGATGCTGCTGCTGCTGATGATGATGCGGAGGAGGAGGAGGAAGAGGAGGGGGGTGGGGGGGGGGGGTAGGGGGAGAGGGGGAGGAGGAGGAGGGGGGAAGGAGGAGGGGAGGAGGAGGAGGAGGAGGAGGAGGAGGAGGAGGAGGAGGAGGAGGACGAGGAGGAGGAGGAGGAGGAGGAGGAGGAGGAGGAGGGGTTGTGTTTCTTGGGCGGGCCTCAGGCCTTCAACCTTTTCCACCGGGCCTCCCCGGATTCATCTCTTCAGGGAGGGAGCGGTGGCATTGCGACGGCAGAGGGCGGCAGGGAAGGACCACGGGAAGGGGCCGACGAGGTGCCAGGCATGGGTGCCCAGATCGGGCCCCAAACGTTTGGGGACGCGGGCCACCCTGGGCCCAGATCCACCGAGGCCGCGCCAGCGGAGACTCGGTGGGGTCCGCCTTCTTTCTTCTCCCTCCTCCTTCCTTTTCCCTCTCCTTCCCTCTCATCCCGTCCTGCCTCCTCATCCCAAATCTATGAATGCTACTCTCCTCTCTCTCCCCCGAAGACGTCCAGCGGCATTGCGCCCTCTCATTGCATGCCTTTCTTTACACACATGAATTAGATGCGCGCCTGTGCATGACCCTGTAATTGAAAAGGGGTGGTGTGCTCGCCGAACCCCCCCCTTCCCCCCTTCAAAGGGGGGGTGAGATTTTCGACCCCCCCCCTTAAAGGGGGGGGTCCGAACCCCCCCCCTCCCCTCCCTTGAAGGCGAGGGGGGTGGTTCTGGACCAGCCCCCCCTCCCCCCCTTGGCGCTGGAGGGGGGGTTCGACCCCCCCTCCCCCCCTTCCCCCCCTGGGCGCCGAACAGGGGGCCGGGGGGGGGCCTCTCCCGCAAGGGGGGGGGCCTGGCCTCGGGATGCTGAGTAGTGAGTAGTGAGTCGAAAGAGAATAGTGACTAGTGAGTACTGAGTAGTGAGTAGTGAACAATGAGTAGTGCGAGTAGATAGAGGCGAGTGGTGAGGAGTGAGTAGTGAATAGTGGGCAGTGAGTAGGGAGGAGTGAGCCGTGAGTAGTGAGTAGTGAGTAGTGAGTAGTGGGTCGTGAGTAGTGAGTAGTGAGTGGTGAGTAGCGAGTAGAGAGTAGCGAGTAGTGAATAGTGAGTGGCGAGTAGGGCATGATGAGTAGTGAGTAATCGGAAGGGCGTAGGCAGTAGTGGGTAGTGAGTAGGGAGTAATGAGTAGCGAGTAGGGAGTAGCGAGTAGTGAGTAGTGGGTAGCGAGTAGTGAGTAGTGTGTAGTGGGTAGTGGGGAGTGGGTAGTGAGAAGTGAGTAGCGAGTAGGGAGTAGCGAGTCGTGAATAGTGAGTAACGAGTACGGCATTATGAGTAGTGAGTAATGATGAGGGAGTAGTCAGTAGCGAGTAGTGAGTAGGGAGTAGTGAGCAGCGACGAGTAGGGAGTAGCGAGTAGGAAGTGGTGAATAATGACTCGTGAGTAGTGAGTAGCGAGTAGTGGGTAGTGGGTAGCGAGTAGGGAGTACCGAGTAGTGCATAGTGAGTAGCGAGTAGAGCAGTGTGAGTAGTAAGTAGTGAGGAGGGAGTCGTAAGTAGTGACTAGTGAATAGGGAGTAGGGCGTAGCGAGTAGGGAGTAGCGAGTAGTGAGGAGTGAGTAGTGAGTAGTGAGTAGGGAGTAGTGACTACTGAGTGGTATTAAGTGAAAAGTGGATATTGAGTAGTGGGTAGTGCTCAGGGTGTAGTAAGTAGTGAGTCGTGAGTAGTGAGTAGTGAGTACTGAGTGGTGGGTAGTGCGTAGTGACATGTGACAGTGACTAGTGACTCGTGAGTAGGGAGTAGCGAGTAGTGAGTCTTGAGTAGTGAGTAGTGCGTAGTGGGTAGTGAATATTGTGTTTGGGGTAGCGAGTAGCGAGTAAGGAATAGCGAGAAGTGAGTAGTGAGTAGTGAGCAGTGAATATGGTGTAAGGAGTAGGGAGTAGCGAGTGGCGAGCAGTTGTGGGCAGTGAGTAGTGAGTAGGGAAGTGTGAGTCTAGTGAGTAGTGATGAATGAGTAGTGAGTAGTGGGGAGTGAGTAGTGTTTAGTGAGTAGTGCGAACTGACTAGTGGGTAGTGCATAGTGAGTATTGAGTAGTGGGTTGGGAGTAGTGAGTCGTGAGTAGTGAGTAGTGGGTAGTGGGTAGTGGGTAGTGAGTAGTGGGTAGTGAGTAGTACGTCGTGAGTAGTGAGCAGTGAGTAGTGAGAAGTGAGTAGTGAGTAGCGAGTAGTGAGTAGTGGGTAGTGAGTAGTGAATAATGAGTACTGAGTGCTGTTTGGGGCCAGGTTTAGGGTTTGGGGTTCGGGTTACGGGTGGTCGGGGTGGTAGTGTTAGGGGTGGTAGGGGTCGGGTTCCGGAGCCCAGGGGCGCCGTGGCGAAGGGGGTTCGGAACCGCCTCCCCCCCCTTTTTGAAATGGGGGGATGGGGGGGGTCCCCGACGACGGACGGATCGGGAAAGGGGGGTGGGGGGGGTACCCGACGACGGATCGGGAAACGGGGGGGGGAGGGGTTCCCCGACGACGGATCGGGGAAAGGGGGGGGGGGTCCCTCCCCCCTTGGGGCCATCCAGCGGCGCGCCCTCCATGATTTAAGCCATTGATTGGTTTCATTTCTTCTAGGAGCCGGAATGCTTCGGTGTTTTTACACGGTGCTTTCGCTGCAGCGTGGGCCTCATTTTGGGATCGGCGCTTTGCTCCCGTTGCTCTCAATGGCGCTCTCGCCCTACCGCGGGCCATTTTTCTGGATCCGAGTCCTTCCTCATCGTTGACTCCCCGCTTTTTTCCCCGCTCCGCCTTCCCTGGTCCCCCTGCTCTTCCTGCTCTTCCCAGTCCTGCTCCTGCTGCTGCTATTCCTCCGCGTTCTCCTCTGCCGTCCTCAGTCGCCCTCCTTCCTCCTGCTCATCCTCCTGCTCATCCGCCACCACCTCCTCCTCATCAAATGTACCTCCCTTTCTGATTGCGCATAACTCGAAGGCGTCCTTCTGGGGGGTCCTTGTCCGCTATGG